AGCGTAAAACTTACAGTGTACTCCAAGCCAAAACAAAAAGCTAGTTAGAAATATGCATGATTCCTAACTATGCTAAGATGCCTAATGCAACACATGAAATACGCAATTAATAGGCTCGGCTGTCTGAGATGGCATATGAATGCAACAATTTGATACACGTATTCAACTAAGTATTGAAACACGATGCAGTTTGAATGATGTGCCGAGCCTCGGTGCATGCAAGACAAATGAATAATGTAAACATGCAAGCATAAGGTATGCTAATCAAAACGTGCCCTAATCTAACCATTAAAGTGATTAAATAAAAGAGAGAAAGACGTGGGGTTAGAAGATATGCACACACACACGCACGCTTATTACAACATTGCGCCCTCGCGAATGAGGGTTTGAATGAATAAGCTAAGCTAATCTAAGCTAAGCTAGTTAAATTAATCTAATTAAACTAATTAGACTAATTATTACACAACCAATTGAATAACTAGTAAACTACTTACTAATTATTACAGCACAACATAAAGAAATAGCTAAGCTAAAGCTACTTAATTATTATATAATCAATGCAAATTAACTATGCTGCTACTACACTGCTCCAGGATGCAGAAGATGCATGCACTTGGTTCTCGCCCCGAAAAGCCCATCGGTTTGCTCTCGAGAGGCTCTGTTTGCAGGGTTACTCCAAGAACTTTTTGTTCCACCTTACCAATTCACTACTGAGGAATACACCAGTGGCCTGCCAGCCATAAGTTCTTGCTGCCGACCATCTGTCGGCGAAAAAGAGGCACCGCCGGCCAAGGATATAGCACTGCGGGTCATCAATGTACTAGTGCCGGCCACTGGTGTGCTGAATTGCCACACTGTAACAGAGCACAAACAGAGGAAAATTGAGGGTTTTCCAAAGATATGTTTGTACCATGCCCCTCCTTATCATCTCAAAACATCAAAGGAGTGGCACTCTTGGATCCAAAACCACCAATCAAGCATTTTCAATGCATGATGGCCAAAGATCCAAGTTGTACACTTTCAATAAATGCACAAAACATGACTCAAAGGACCACCACCCTATCATGCGTGATCAAGGGTGATGGAGACAAAGGAGATTGGCTCATTTCATCACTTTGAGTATGAAATAGACCAATATACCTTGTGTTCAATATAACGTCCAATTGAACACTACGCAATGCAAACACAACATGCTTATCTTAGTCATGTTTTACTTGTCCAATTCTTGTCTACACATTTTAACATTGCCATTCTTTAGTCAATTTGTCCAAAATGAGTGTCCACTAATGAGAGAGGGGTCAACGAAAAGATGGCTTAAGACATGAGAGAGATCATGCCTTTGGTTAGTAGAAACCCTCAAAAAAGAGCTAAAACCATTGAGTACAAGCCTCAATCTCAAGCTTAAACACAATCTTGAGACTAACCAACCCTCAAAACAAATGAAAAGTGAAGAAATGAGGGAGGTTGCAGAATTTCAGTGCTGAAATGACATGAAAAATAATACTACAACATGCAAGCAACTCATGCACAACATGTTAAGAGCCAAAAGCATTAAAGCTAGTGAGGAGCACTACACTAGAGGCATGCAATATCAAACTCAAATGACCAAACCAGCTCTGGACAGAGTTAAAATATGCCAAATCAAAGGCTAAAACATGCTGAGATGGTAGTACAAAAGGCAAGAAAAACATGCTCACATGTTAGCTCATAAACAAGGCTCAAGGCACAACTCTCAAAAGCAATGAAAGAGTGAAATATGTGAGGGTGTGACAAAGATATATGCACTGAAATCACATGCAAAATGATGCTACAACATGCAATCAACACATGCAAAGCATGTTAGAGACCTTGAAACACAAAGCTAGTAAAGGCCATTTACACTAAAACCATGCAAGGCAAGACTCACATGACCAAGAAGGCTCAAAACAGAGCTAAAGCATGCTAAATCAGTGGCAAAAACATGCTGAGATCAAGTCACAAATAGGTAGAAAAACATGCTCACATGCTAGGCCATCTACACATGCAAACAAGACACAAGGAGGGGAGGCCAACCCCTCCTATCTTGGATCTCAAAACATGATTTTTGTCACTGAAAAACCTCTGAGTTTCAGTGGTAAAAAGGCCTAAAAACTTTGATTTGAAGGTGATGAGAAATGGTGCAAAAAGCTTAACAAGCTAAAAAGCAAAAAGGGGGAACAACCCCCTAACTCACAAAGGCTCAAACCACCACTTTTAGGACTGAAAAACAGAATTTTTTACATGCCAAAACCAGCCTTGAAATGGTGGAGAAAGAAGGCAAAGAAAGTATGAAAAACAAGCTTAAAGGGAGAGAGTTATACCTCTTGAAGCACATCCAAATTTTAGGCAACAAAACCAAGCAAAATGACCTTCAAGAGCTCCAAGGAGGCTCCAAGAGAGCTTCAAGCAACCTCAGCCCAAAGATGAACCACTCTTGTTAAGGGTTGATAGGTTAAAGATTGATGTATGCAAGCTTCTAAGCACAAAAGCTTTAGAGAGAGAAAAATCTAGAGAGAGGATTGTAGAGAGAGAGGCTCCTAAACTTCTTCCTAAATTGTTCTAACTTTTAAAACCATAGAGAAGGCTCTATATATATAGAATAATGCATGCCTTGGTCAAAAATATCCCAAAATGGACAGCTGGAACAGCTGCAGCACAAATATCTGCAGAAAACTACGTTTTTGCATCAATGTCCGTCACTGCTTCATTGATGGCCGGCATATGATCATTGTTGGCCGTCAATGGTCACTCTTGGACGACAGGGGGCCGGCATAGGCCATTCATGGCCGGCACATGGCCAGAAAATCTCATTCATGACCAGCAACCTCTACCTCTGGTTGGCAAGAAAAATCTGCTCTTCGGGCCCAAATTCAAATGGGAATATCTCCTTCATCTGAGCTCCTTTGCAGGTCATTCTTGAGCCTAAATTGAAGCCCTGGAAGTCTTGTTTCCAATGGTGGAAGCCTCACATCAAAATTCCAATTGTGCAAGAAGATATGCCTGTTTGAGTGAAGACTGCTCAATTTCGATCCTAGCCGGATTCATGCCGAACTTCTTCTGAGCTAGTTTTCTTCTTTCCACTCCAATTTTCTTCAAACCCAAACCTTTAAATAAGATGTTTTGAAAGATTTTTCAGAGATTTCACATCTCTTTCATTCATTTCCACTTTGTCCTTGCTTGGTTTACCGAAAAGCGCAACATTTAACGAAATGCAAGCCTCCGAACATCGTAGAAACTTCTTTAAAAAATGTTTTGAAAGAGAGGGTTTTAAGGTCTAAAATCTTTGGTCAACATAGTTTTGGTCCACAACTGGGGAGTAAGGTTGGGATTTGAAGCTCTCCTTGCCGAAGAAATCAAACATTTGCACTGCACAACTTTCATCACCAAGTAAACAATCAGTAGCGCCGAAATCTTAAGGGCGGTCAAAAATGGGGTGTCTACAGATACTTGGGAAGAGAAGGTGAATCCAATGGTGTAAGCTGGAATTGCTGATGTTAGGATTGTGTTGACGTCAGCATGATGTCAGCAATTGTTCGATTAGCTCTGATATGTCTCTTCAACAGTGTTACAGGTTGTAGTGATAATGAAATTGGTTATGGATTGGCTCTAATATCAAAAGAGAAGAAGAAGAAGAGAGAGAGAGAGAGAGAGAGAGAGAGAGAGGAGAAAAGGTAATGTAGAAATGATGCAGCTTGCCTCCAGTCCGAGATAGGACTGGACGATGCTATTTGGCCCACCACGGGTCTCGTTTTGATAATCTGAACCGTTCAATGTGTAAAACTCATCGAGTACTATATGCTTGTAAAAAATCACGTTGATCGAATATCAATAGCTATGTGATCAAACCAATTTTGTATATATAAAAAAAAAGGACGGTGAATAAATTCACGGTTGACAAAAAATTGATCCAATGGGATAGCTATCAATATCCGATCAACGTGATTTTTTACAGATATATGTAGTAATGACGAGTTCTACACATTGAACGGTTTGGATTATTAAAACGGGACCCGTGGTAAGTCTTAATATGCCGAACAGTACCATACAGTCCGATCTCAGATGGGAGACAAGCTGCTCCCATATAGAAAATATGGTTTTAGTATGAGATTCCACTACTCATCCCTAGACCTAGGTATTTATGTTAAACAGTTTGAGAAATTATAAGAGTACCCTGGAATGAAATTTAAAAAATAAATAAATAAACTAACATAAAAAAACATTAAACTCTAATAGTATCATATAAGAGAGAATATTAAAAAAACATAAAATAGAAATGTGCGAATATTGAGAGGAAAAGGACAGTATCTTACGGGGTTGGTTAACAAACATATCAACATAGGGTCGATGTAGAATTTCATGAAGCTTGGGCCCCTTCCCTGGTTTGCCAGTACTGTTGCTGCTTCATGGGTGTTCAATGTGCGCAGAGTTGTGTTGTTGTCTATGTTTTGTGTTTCTTTGAGCATATGGTTTTGGTTGCTCCAGGGATTAATTTGGTGGAAGTGTCAAAATAGATGTAGTTGCACGCGCAGTAGATACATTTAAAAACCAACACCAATTAATACACATTTGTTTGGAAGGGAAAGATTGAGTACACACCTCAAGCTTATACGTGATCCACACGTTTGTTTTGACATAATAAGTAGTGATCCAAGACGTAACCCGTAACCTCAAGCTTATTAGGCCGAAGTCTTAACATTGAACCAATTAATACGTGCAGTAAATACATTTCTCTGCACTAAATGTTTTGCTTTGTGTATGTGGTGACTAGTGACTAAAATGTTGGGAAATTATGTTTGATGATTATATAGCACTTAAATTCTAGTTTTTAGAGCTTACCTTGTTACCATTAGTTTGCAGTAGGATACAAAAATGTGCATGTGTAATTTGTATTTACTAGTATGTGTGGATGTAAAGACATTAACAATATTTATATTAGTATTGTGTAACCTGTACTTATTTGCGTAGCATTTTCATTTATGCAGGGGACTATACGTGATGCTATTGAGGATTCTATTACATGGCCAGTTCGGAAAATTGTTCCAATTTTACCTGGGGATTACAGGTATGACTGTAAATATAGAAGCTTTTATGAACAATCTGTATGGTTAACAAAAGCGCTTTTTAGACATGCAAGTATACGGCAATGAATGAGTTACTTAAGCTATTTAGGGAAATGAGAATGAGACACATGAATGTATAATCAGATCTTATATTTTTGATAAATGAAATGGTATTACCATGAGCTGATGCATTTATATTCAGAAAAATGAGTAGAACACACTCTCCCACATGCTTGGGTAGAGTCCTTCAGATTTGTAGATAAATTTTTATATCATGTAAAGAATGTAGTTCTGTAGAGATAAGCAATAAATACTTACATATTCAAAACCCCAAGGATGGTGGGGGGATGGAGATTATAATGAGTTGAAGAATATCTAAGGGGTTAAATTCTTCTCAAATTATATTGAGCGCTAAATCGTGTATTTGGTTTCGGTGCATTTACTTCTTTAATCTTGCTGTGTAAATTTCAACTTTCATGTGCCAATCGATTAAAAAGTAAGGAAGAGAAGGAGATTATAATGAGTTTAAGTCAAGGGATTAAATTCTTCTCAAACTGTATTGAGGGCTTAATCATGTATATGGTGTCTTTTGGTACTTTGTGGGCCTTGGACTTCTTTTTTTCATGGGTCAATTGGTGAACAAATATTTTTATCTATTACAAAAATTCTTAACTACATCCCACTTTAGGTTGAACCATCTGCCTAAGGGAAAAAATTCCCATTTTTGGTTAAATTTTGGGACTGATGGCAGGACATGGTTGTGCAGCATAGCCTTTATACCTGAGCCAGCATCCCATCTTTTGATTAGCTTCTGTACTTTTCTTGACCTTTAGTGTTATTGACTTTTTCAGTGACCTAGAGCTGAAGCCTGTTGGAGTTTTAGAGGTGAAACTTGTGCAAGCAAAAGAGTTGACAAATAAGGATTTCATTGGGAAGTCTGATCCTTTTGCTGTGTTATACATACGCCCGCTGCGTGATAGAATGAAAACTAGCAAAACAATCGTACGTCTGTATTTTCTCATTTAGGATGTCCTATGAACATTTTAATTGACTTAAAGGATGATTATGTGTTGTTTCCTCCAGAACAATCAGTTGAATCCGGTGTGGAATGAACACTTTGAATTTATAGTTGAAGATGCATCCACACAGAACTTGGTGGTAAAAGTTTATGATGATGAAGGGCTTCAGACAGAAGAACTCATTGGATGTGCTCAAATACGGCTAAATGATCTTGAGCCTGGTAAAATAAAGGACGTGTGGTTGAAATTAGTTAAGGATTTGGAGGTCCAAAGAGATAACAAAAACAGGGGTCAGGTGAGAACTATGATCACCCTTGTTTTGAATGATTCTACTTTTTTCTTCTTTATTGTGAGATGCTTCAACTTAGCCAACTGTCTCCAGATGTGACAAGGGAAAGGAAGATATAATAAAACATGGTGCAGCAAACTTTTTGATAATGTAAGCTTTAAAACTCTCGTGTGCAAGTACCTAGATTACCAAGACTTGCTTCTGTATTATGAAGAGTATACCTAGTATACCTGAGAAATTTGCAGCCTTCTCTCCTATAGGCTATATCAGCATTGTTAATTGAACCTCTAGGTAGTTTTTCCCTGCTTGGTAATAAATGCATCTGGAGTGATGGGGCAGGTTTGCTGTTTAATTCAACTGTTGACCATGAACGTTATGGATGAAACTCACTTAGTTTGAGTTTCATGTACACAAACTGATCTTGTGGGGGTTGGCTACATTTCTTAATGGGTTAATGATTCATTTGCATATTACTGAGTCTTGTCGTTGATAGTGTACCACTCTAGGAAACATGGATATAGACACATGACACGACATGTGGAATTTTTTTATTTTTTTATTTTAAAACAATCCAGGACATGACACACCAACAAATAAATATATATTTTTAGATGTGTGCATGAAAATAATGATTTATTCATAATTTTTACATTACAAATATGTACTTTTTTATATCAAAATAAGAATAAATCATTTCCACAACCAACATACTGCAAAAGAATTGTGAACAAAAAAAGTGATAATATCTATTTTGGAAAGCTTTGGGTATGATCAAGTTGAAAGTTTAGAATTCTCAAAGTTCAAGTATGTGGAAGAGGGATTAATAGGGTATAAATCTATATTATTTTTATTTTATCATTAAGTCCGAAAATAAATTTATCATACTTGCAATGTATTTCTTGTGTGTTTTCCAAGTATTTGAAGTGTGTTCGATTCTAAAAATATTTAAAAAAGAATAGGATACGTTTGACTGCGTGTCCAACACGTCGAGGAGAATCCAACAAGAGTTAGTGTCCAACATGCGTTCGACATGGACACAACATTTTAGAAGTGTCCGTGCTTCTTAGGTTTCACTTCGCTTCTTTGAATTAACTAAAAAAAAAAAAGAAAAGAATATTAACAGTTAAAGTAACCATATATAGTTCTACACCTGTTAGACTCCTAGGGGCTGTTAAAATTTATAATGACAAATTAATATGAAGAGTTGGAGCCTCTTTCATAAATTAAGAGTTAACTTGTTACGTAAATGTTTTTGGAATTGTTAGGAGGACCAACCATCTTTACATCATGCTACTTTCAAGTCTTTTCAAGATTCATAAGAGCCCTGCAAAGTCTTGTCCAGTTTCATGGTTTCATTATTTGTATCCTCTTTCCAGACTGTCACTTTTCCCTTGAAAATAAAATTGCATTGCCCACCATTCTGAATTAATCATATGTCATTAACTGCTTCTAATCATCAGTAACAAGGTATCAATAAGACCGGCTTCCTGGTCATTTAGGAACTTGATTGCTCTGCCAAGTCAAAAACCATAAGAATCAATTGACATCGTCATGATTTCATACACTTTGACCAGGGACAAGTTCAGGGTGTGGTTTGAGTAAGAACTTGTTCTTGTGCTGCTAGTAAAATAGTGGATGACAAAACTACAGATCAGAGAGTTTAACATAATCTTAACTTTTTGTGGACTCATTGTATTAGTTTGATGCAAGTTTGAAGTTTATGTTGCATGTCACATTAAAATCTATATTTGCTTTGGAAGTCTTGAAGCTTTGCTATTTTTTGTTTTCAGGTGCACTTGGAGCTATTGTACTATCCTTTTGGCATGAAGAATGGGTTTACTAACCCTTTTGCATCAAACTTTTCAATGACCTCATTGGAAAAGGTTCTTAAAAGTGGTGTGGAAGGAAAGGAAGCTTCTGAAAATGGAATAGATGTAAAACACAAAAGAAGGGAAGTTATTGTAAGAGGAGTACTTTCTGTTACTGTGATATCTGCAGAAGACTTGCCACCAGCAGATCTAATGGGGAAGGCTGACCCCTATGTAGTTCTCACCATGAAAAAAACAGAAACAAAAAAGAAAACCTGGGTCTCTCTCTCTCTCTCTCTTATTTATTTATTTTTTTCTCTTGATTTTGGCATTGGTGATTTCCTTGATTTCTGAAGTTGTTTGTGTTCTTAGGTGGTAAACGAAAATCTAAATCCTGTATGGAATCAAACTTTTGACTTTGTCGTTGAGGATGGATTACATGATATGCTAATTCTGGAAGTCTGGGACCATGATACATTTGGGAAGGTAGAAATTCCTGCTTGTTATATCCTTTTTTGCTTTCATTCATTAATAGGATGATTGATGTGAAGTTATGAACCATGTTTATTGATTGACATGAATGAGAAGTAGCTGTACAACACTAATAGACCATTGATTTAAAGTATATAGATGTTCGAGTCCTGCCTGCATTGGTAGCGTCCACAAGTAATATATTTTTAAATGAGAAAATAAAATTATAATTGAACAGCAAAAAACCAGTAGAAAAAGAATGAGGAGAACCAAACAATAGAAATTGCATTGGATTGGAAAGAGAGTTCCAAAAAATCCATGGGTATATTGTCTGCAAGATGTTTACTCCTGCCTTAGTCTTGGTATCTACCTCCAAGTTTGTACTGTTGAAGTGATGAACCCAACAAAAGTTGCTAGCTAAATAGAAACGTTTAAACATTTTTGTGAAGTTAATGTGAGTAATCTTAAGGACTAGCATGCATAGGGAAATCTCAAATATAATGTGAGTAATCTTAAGGACTAGCATGCATAGACCATCACCTTACATTATTACATGACTTAAATGATAAAATAAAATACAACACTTATGACATAACTTCACAAAACCAACACAAGCACACAAGACCGACTTTTAATCAACTTCTCTATACTTGAACTCTTCATCACCTACATATATATAAGGGAGAGGGGTGAAATACAGTAAAGTGGTAAATGAATGAACACTGACAAGCTTTTAAAAGCATCAAATCATAGTTTGAACATAAACTTTAACTTGGCCAAGACATTGCATAACTTGACTTGAAAACATTTACATAATGATGAGCATTCCGAGATTAACAAGGTGCTATTGCTATTAGAGCCTCAATAACTGGCCTCACCTGAAAGTGACAAGTTACATACACGCGCGCAACATGATTGGATATTTCCCCAAATTTGGGGCATAATTGGTTATTCTCCCAATTATGGGACATGATCCATGAATATCATCTTAATACATGATACAAAAATATAGGATGTTCATTCATAACAAAACAATACCTTAACTTTCATAAACATAGCATAGGTTTGCATTTCAAATTATAGTTTTAATAAACATAACTTTACTATACTACTGAAGCTTGTAGGGATTAACCAGCTTAGGGTTTGATAGGATATCATCCCCTATTTATATAAATGAAGATTAGGGTTTGTAACAATTACAAGATAAGACAATTACAAGATGAGCCCTGAGTGCATAGTATAATTACAAACCAATAACTCAGATAATAATATAATATGCTAACAACTACTACTCACAAATGGCTCCTTGAACAAAAGGTTTCCTCCTCCGAGTACTTGACACACACAAATCATAAGAAGAAACTAAATACACTCAAACTAACAAGCTTCGAAATTCACTTCAAGTGTTCTAACTTAACTTAGTGGTTCTCAATATTTTCTAGATTATCCAAGACTTTTCTAAGCCTAATTCAAGTCAATCAAGTGTCAAACATGTATCGAATGCATGCCTAGAAGCATCCTAGGTAATTTAGGCCTGAAGAATATTGAAGTGTGTCAAAGACATATGTTGAAGGACCCCAAGTATTCCACATCAATTTCATATACTATGCATTGAAAAATATCATGTTTACATATTTAAGATATAAAGAAATAGGAAGAAATGAAAGGAAACTAAGTTAGGAGAGGAATTAGCATGAAATGGTTAGTAAGAAAGTGAGCAGCCTTCACTAATTTATCTTTTTGTGTACTTAGAATTTAGATATGAGACTACCACTATTGGGAACTAGACTTCTGGTGCTTGAATTTAGACTCAAGAATTGCTTAAAACGAGTCTGGATGAGAGATATGCCCATTTGAAGTTTCAAGGTATGACATGAAAGTGGGCTAAAATAGCGTTGGCCGCACGTTTGCCCACCTTGGCCACTCAAGCGGCGGAATAGGCCACTCAAATGGTGGCTTAGGGGAGGTAAATTGTGTTCTGTGCACTCGTGCGCCCGATGGTGGCCGCTCGAGCGCCCAGCAAGCAGAAATCAAGTCAGGTGCATGTTCTTGGTGTTCCAACTCTGTTTTCTTCACCTAAAAGCCTCAAAACATGATATTTGATATTCTAAGGCATGAAAATATGATGAAGGGTTTATGAAAACTCATTGGAATGCATGAATTTCAAGATTAATCCAACAAAAATAAGTTTGAATTCAAGAATTTCTCAACTTATGTTCTTTCTTAAACTCTCTTCCATTTCTTCACTTTAATCTTTCAAAACTTGATGTATAAGGCTTTAAAACATGAATAAATGATGTGGGTTTCATAGACAAACACCTATATGCAATGAATTCTAAGCTTCAACAAATCAAAACATAGGTAGCATTTGGTAGAGTTTTCTAAATATGATTTGAGAATAGAGTTGTATTTTGAGTTTGTGAGTTCTGGAATTATGATTTGAGTATGGAAAATATATTTGGTTATGAGTTTTGAAAAGAGTTTTGAATTGAGTTTTGGAGGGAGTTTTGAGTTTTTAAAATTAGAAAAATTATTTGATTCAAAAACTTACAACTCATAACCAAATACACAACCTAAAATTTTATTCAAAGTTCATATAAAAATTTAAAAAATTTCAAAAATAATTTTTATTTACAATATAAGAATAACAAGTGCCAAAAATAAATAAATAAATAAATACCGAACACTGTTCCGGTCAACCGGCCGAATGTTCGGGAGGACAACTGGGTTAGCCAAATTTTTCCGCCTGGAAAGGAGTTTTCAAAAGTGGGTGTTGAATTATAATTTGAAAACTCAAAACAAACACCACACTCATAAAAGTGGGTGGAAATGTGTTTGGCAAATATAATCAAACACAACCTAGTTTTTCTTACAAATTCTGCAAACCCTTTTTATTTTCCAAATTCTTTCCTATTTTTACAATTTCAATCTCTCAAAACTTAGTGTAAATGATTTTCTAGCTAGATTAAAGCAACAATACAAGAAAGAGGGTTGAATTTCTTACCTAGTGATAATTTTTCCTTGATTTTCCTAACTCAAATATTGAAGTTATTTGATTTCTCCTCTTTTTCTCCCTTTTCACGTTCTTTCTTCTTGTTCTTCTTCTTATTCTTGTTCTTGCTTTCTCTCCTTTGTTCCCATCTTTCTCCATCTTTCTCTTTTGTTTGATGAGAATAATTACTTATTGCTTTATTAACTTCATTAACCAAGCTCAACTCTAATTAATCCTACTTCGTCTCTAACCTTATTAGCCTAATTAATCCTACGTAGGTCCTAATTAATCTTACTTAACTTTTACTAATCCCCCGCTTAATTTCTAATTTAGTACTCGATAGGCTTTATGCATTAGACTAAGATCATTAAACTCCTCACTTAAGGTTTTCTAGACCATCTAGGCATTCAATTCTTAAGTACAGAAAGAATTCCCTATCTCTTTCACTTACTAAATTTCCTACATTAATTAAGGTTCGATGTTCAAATTCTTCAAGACTCCTTAGGTTCTCTATCAAGCACATACATTCATAAGTTTTCTAGATAATGTATTCATCTCCTAAATTGTTATCCTAACAATTCATGTTTTTATCTCTAGAGTATTGGAAGTAATTAATTCCGGGTGTCTTGTGATTTGAAATAGTCAATGGAATAGTTATTTTGACCTGAGGGAGGAGTTAGCTGTGGGAGAGATGGGTTGATTGCTTGATGATTGTCCAGGGGAGATCTCCTTACATAGAGGAATATGGAGGAATCTCCCTGACAGTTTCAAGAGAAGTCAAATGGATAATCAAGCGGTCAACGAATCTCTTGGGTTCTTGCGACAGTATCACACGCATGATGCTATCTTGTGCCAATCCCTTGTGTATAATGTCAGGTGTGTTCTCATGAGTGCAGATATCAGGCATCGTGTCTCTTGATCGGAACCACTCTCATCCTAAAACTGGCCAAGGTGTACTTGAGAAGGAACCTTGATAATCTCTCAACTCTAGCCTCCAAGTCACAAGTCCTCCAATTATCTTGAGTGGAGATATTAATCCTTGCTCCCAACCTAGGTTATTCAGGAGCCAAGTGACATTAGAGATCACAGATTGTGTGTGACAGATCTCATTTGGGAGATTGGTGGAAGAGTGAGGTCCTAAAGATGAGTCAGATCTTGGTAGCGAGCTATGTTGCATGGACTCAGTTACGGGGTGTCGGATGCAGGTATGTATTTAGAGGTTGGATTCATTGAACTATAAATTTAAGGGTACACGGACTCGGCAAAAAAATGTGATATTTTTATATTCTCAATCAAGTATGTAAAATAAAATGGTGATATATGTAACTTATAGTGTCAAAAAGACCTTTATAACAATTATACAACAATATGTATATATAATAATAATGTTATATACAATTATATAAGAAGTGTCCATTGAAAAATATCTGACACATATATAAGAAGTGTCTATTGAAAAGTATCTGACACATTTCATACCCTTGTCCAAGTGTCGGGATATTTGATTTATTTTGAAGAGTCCATGTAACATAGGTGGTGAGATCCTGAAGGTAAGATCCTCCAAGTATGAGTGAGATCCTGGAGGTAGGTCCCCGGAGATGTCTTAGCACACTTAGTACATAGAACAGTATATGTGGAGAGACTTGACATTGGTCAATGTGTTGCCTTGCAATGCTGCCACATCATGGTGAGGTGGAGATGGACATATGTACCTACTCCAATCATGATACAATCTAAACGAGTATTTTCAGTTGACCAGGTTTTAGGCTTCCAAACAGCCCTTGGTAAGGGCCCTGCGTCCTGACTTCCGATTGATATAATTGGCATTCACAAAAACTGTTTTCATTTTAGTTTGTCCTTTCTGCATCTGGAGTTGTTTAACTTGAAAGATTTGAGCACCCTTAAAACTTTGCTATTCTTGCTACTTGAGAGAAAAGTACAAAATCTTTCAATAACCCCATTGTTAAGAGCAATGACTATTGCTTATATGTTGTCAACGGTGACTTGCTCCTTGTGTTTTCAAAAACTTTTTTGTGTAAAATTTTCTTCCTTTATTGCGCAGGACTATATGGGCCGATGTATCTTGACATTGACAAGGGTCATACTGGAAGGTGAATTCAAAGACTGCTTCCAAGTAGAGGAGGCTAAATCTGGAAAACTAAACCTGTATCTTAAGTGGTCTCCTCAACCAATTTACCGCGATTCATAGCAGTCCTGAATTGTTTTAGTTTGATTTCATTTTCAAAATCTGTTTTCCCAAAAAAAAATTTAAAAAAATTATAACTAGTTTGGTGAAAAACAAAATTAAAAACCCATCATTTTCATATATTTTTTTTCTTTGTTTGGAGCAAAAGTAATTTTTTAAAATTCAAAAATATCATTTTGGTGTATATTTTTGTCAAAACTATTTTTCATTTTATTAAAAAAATTCAAAAAACAGATTTTGAAAATGAAACCAAACATCTTAGCGTGTGTGAAATATACTCATGGCTCCACAGAAGACTCATGGACAAAATTTGATCAATAAGACCTTGAGATTTTAAATTGTTGTAAAAGTGAGACACTTATTGCACATAACAATAGGTGTTTCATCTTCACTCTTGTAAAATTTCCTTAGCATGTACAAATTATCTTAATTCTGCTAGGAGATTGGCACGTTTTGCGGCATTTTCTCGTATTCCGGCTTATGGAGATGTGCACTTTCCTTTTGATAATGGTTAGGCAGTCAGAAATATTTTGCTTTCTTTTGATTTCCTTGTCTGCTGGTAACCATATTCAGTTAAATGCTAGTATGATGTATGAACTGCTATGTACTATTTTACATTTTAATTGAAATTCTTATTTCTGCCAAAAAAATAAATAAATAAAAAACAATAGGTGTTTTAGTAGTGTAGAGGAACTATGTAAAGTAGCAGAAAGTTTTGATCTAGATTTTCCAAAAAAAAAATGAGAAAAAAGAAAACAAAATAGCTATACAGGGATATAAGGTTTGGAGGAACTGTTGCATGACAGCCAGATGACCGACTTTATGAAATTGTTTAAGGGTTGGTTTGAGATATGGGTTGGTTTTTTTGACTTTTTAGCTATTAACTTGAGCCTAAAAAGTCTCGTTTGGTATAAGTTTTTTTGACTTTTTTGACTTTTGTGAGAAAAAAATAAAATTATTACAATTTAGATGTGACATTTTGTCTTATTGAGCTAAAAAGTTTATTTTATCTTTTTGTGACTATTTTAGTCAAAAAATCCTATTTTAGTTTATGTCAAACGAAGGCTTAATTTGCTACATATATGATAATTTTTTCCAACAATGCTAGGTGGTCCAAATTTCATGACTCGAATGTCTTTAAACGACGTCATTTTGGATATAAAACAACACCATTTTGACACATTCGGGCCACACAAATTCAGGCCACCAAACATTTTTCAATCTTTTTATGGCAGTTCTTCCTTTTAATGAGGAGCATATATATGATTCTTTTCCCCCTGATGAAGCAACAAGTATTGGTATGTTCTTCCTTCTAATGACGAGCATATTTATGATTATTTTCTCCCAGATGACGCAGCAAGCATCGGTCCGTAGAACCTATAATAAAAGAGATGGTTGTGGCGTGTTGTACTTCTAATGATCAGGCTTCCTTTCTACTTTGTTTTGAAAATTATTGTTCAAAATATCCTTTGCGAAATGGATCCACTGTGACCCATGCAATGGCACGTGCTATTTTAAAAAATATATATATATTTGATAGTATAATGTGTTATAAAAGAATAATTTAATCTTAATTTAAAATTAAAATTAATGTATGATTTTAACTATTTATTTTGATAATATTAGCGCTATCGTTTGTTACTTTAATACTTATATTTATTAATTTTAGTTAAATTATTTATATATTTTGATAATTTTAGTTCTATCATACTATATGTAATTATCATATAATGATTTTGTATGATATATATTTAAATTATAAAATAGTAAAATAAATACTCATTTTGATATTAAAAATAATAGTTAAATTAGAAGAAGAATTAATAATATAAAATTAAAAGTAATTCTAACTATTTAATTTTCTTTTATATTCATTTGGAAAATAAAAATATGTAAAAATAGAAACTATATAAAATTTATTGAAAAAATTAAATATAAATATGTTGTAATTTGATTATCATATAATGATTTTATATGATATATATTAAATTATAAGATTATAAAATAAATATTCTTAATTAAATTAAAATATCAACTACATAAAAAAAAAAAAAAAAAAAAAAAAAAAGTTGACCAATCAAAATTAAAGGGGGTCAAGGGGGTGATCCCCAAAGGAGGTACCTTTATTCATAAAAGAAATTTAATAACGACTAACTAAGAAAGAATCACATAATAGTTTCTAAACCCAAAAGGAAAAAATAATAAAAATATCTAAATAATAGATACATCTCTGTGTGTGAAGCAATCTATCGTTTGTAATATGATGTCAAAACATAAAAGAACTTACCGTTCAACAATTGAAAAAGTAACTCAAGTAATAAATCCAAACTTTAGAGGCTTTTTCAAGAGTATTATTGTTGTGTAAATTTTTCTTCTTGTGAGTTGTGATTATATAAAATAATGTAAGAAATAAGGTATAATTTCATATATAGAATCATTATAAAATTTAAACAACAAATTTATAATATAAAATTGGTATTGGTTATAGAATAATATATAGGGGAAAAAAAATGAGACACTTTAGCATAAAAAAATCGTAATATCCTTGAAAGAATCACTATAAAATTCAAACGATAAATTTATAACATAGAATTGGTATTGGTTGTAGAATAATATACAAGGGGAAAAAAAAAAGGAGACAATTTAGCATAAAACAAAATCGTAATATCCTTGAAAGAATTAATTGGTATTGGTATTAGATTTGTGAATTATCTCAATTTACGATGAAAAATATATGAAAAAAAGTATTTGTCAAATAAAGTCCATATAAAATAGGTAAAATTAGTATAATTTAAATTGGGTTTGAGTTTGTGTAGAACTCTATACGTAAATAAAAAATATATATGCTGATGTGATTTTTTTAGAAAAAAATAAGTTCTTAGAATGTGCCACTTAAAAAAGGAAAAAAACACTACTTTCATATATATGCTAGCAGTTGACCCGTGCAATGTATGTGCTATTTTATTTTTTTTTAAATATTTGATGGTATAATGTGTTATAAAAGAATAGTTTTCATTTTCATTTAAAATTAAAATTAAAGTGTGATTTTAATTATTTATTTTGATAATATTGGCACTCACTACAAGAAATGTCACTTTTAGCTACCAAAATATTGGTAGCCAAAAGTCACTTATTTAGTCGCCGAAACGATTTAGCGACCAAAAGTTTTCGTCGCTAAACTCGTCGCCTTTACCCTGTCGGCGATAGTATTGGCGACTAAAATTTGTTTAGTCGCTAAAAGTGTACACATTTGGCTACTAATCTTAGTTTCGTCGGCAAAAGGTATGTTTCCGCCACTAAAGTATTAGTCGCTGAAAGTGCACATTTGGCTACTAACTTGTTGTGGTCGGGGAAGGTATCACTTTTAGCTACTAAATGATTGGTCGCCGAAAGTACACATTTAGCTACTAACTTGTTTTGGTCGGGGAAGGTATCACTTTTAGCTACTAAATAATTGGTCGCTGAAAAGAGTTATTGTAAGTGGAAGTGACATTGAGCGGGCCTGAAATGAACTTGTTAATGGAGTGAATGTAATGTAATGTTATGTTTGAGAACATATTTTTAGGTAGACGGAACTAGATTACGTGATTATGCACCCCGATCATTGATGGTCTGTACTAATAAGCCTTCGAGTTAGGTTTGTATCTAGAATTGTTTCTAGATTGAACGTCTTATTATCTATGAAGCACAAATATGGACTCTCGACATGAATATGACATGATATAGACACACTGAAGCAACAATTTTCGAAAATCAAGACACGGCATGACAGAGACAACCTGACAAGAAATAAATAAATATATATATATATATGACAAGAAATAAATGATGATTTTATATGATATATATATATATATATTTACATATATGAAATTATAAGATTGTAAAATAAACACTCTTAATTAAATTAAAATATCAACTATATAAAAGAAACTTAATAACGACTAACTAAGAAAGAATCACATAACACCTAAATCCAAAAAGAAAAAATAATGAAAACATTTAAACGATAAATACATCTCAGTGTGTGAAGTGATTAATTATTTGTAATATAATGTCAAAATATAAAAGAACTTACTGTTCAACAATTGAAAAACTAATTCAAGCAGTAATCCAAATTTTAAAGGTTCCTCGAGAGTATTATTGTTGTATAGGTTTTCTCTCATGTAAGTTGTGATTATATAAAATAATGTAGGAAATGAAGTATAATTTCATATAAAAATTCACTATAAAATTTAGACTACAAATCCATAATATAGAATTGATATTGGGTATAAAATAATGCATGGAAAAATAAAAAGGAAAAGAAAATAATTTAGCATTAAAAAAAAAATCCTAGTACCCTTGAAAGAATTAAGAAAAAAAACGTGAAATACAAAATTGATATTAGGTAAAGTTAGTATAATTTAAATTAGGTTTGAATTTGTGTAAAACTCTATATGTAATTAAAAAATACATGCTAACCTGACTCTCTTCAAAAAAATACTTTTCATAATATTTTTTGAATTTGGATAAGAATATTTGATATTAATTGGTGAAAAATCCATTCTTATGGAATCATATGCTATTTAGTTCAAGATTTAATCTTTTTTGTTGATAAGGACATGTTAAAAATCGATGGCAGGCAATAATTGTTGGTGGTTAGGTGACTAGATAGATAACAGATGTACACATTTAAACAAATAGTTGAATTTGAACAAATAGTTAGACAAATAAATAATGTGTACACATTTAAACAAATAATTAGACATTTGAACAAATAATTGAACATATAGGTGACACATGTATAAATAAATGATATTAAATAGATATGTGATATTTGACCAAATAGACAAATAAATTAACTTTTGAACAAATAGTTGTCCTTTTCTGGCCAAAAAATATTTAAACTTGGACCTATTGATTCAATAATTTCAAGGTCCATTTAAGTTCGGCTTTAAGTTCGGAATTAAGGTCCATTTGAAGCCGAACTCAAATAATTTCAAGTAAACTAGAACAATTGGTTATTAGGAATTAAGTTCGGCTTTAAAAAATTGTACCAAAGGTATACTGTAAATCATTCAAGTTGTCTGCTTGTGTATAGTTGGAACAAGCACTTGTATGATTTCGTTTTCAAAAGCTTTCATTTTCTTAAATAATTAAAATTAAATCTGGTAAAAAAATTAATTAAAAAATAAAAAAACTAATTATTTATATGTACTTTTTTTTTTTGGTACAATAAATTTTGAGCAAAATGTATACTATAATTGAATTTATATCATATCCAGCTAAATAGTACAAGAATTACAATTCTCTTATTCAGTTCATTCAAACAAACATGCCTGGTGTTAAGAAATTAGATAGAAATCACAACAAACATCAAAATAACCATGCTATCTCAATGAATTCACAAAACTTGTGCTGACCGGAACTTTGACCAACCACATCAGAAATGAAATTACCTACACATTCATCGTTACCATTGGACGAACTATCTAGGGTTTAAGCCAGTACTCACTGAGAAATCCTCATAGAAGGAAGGCTATCTCTTTTAGAAATCTGACGGCAATTTGAGGGGGCCTTTTCCCAAATTAAGGTAAAATAATAATTTATTTTTTAAATTAGGCTTAATTTGGACGGAATTCCCAAACTAGTCTAAAACGTGGTTAGAAACCACGCTTTCACTGTTTTTGTAGCCCAACCGCGAAAAATTTGTAAAATCGTAAAAGCGTGATTACAAATCACGCTTTTAATTATAAAATCGTAAAAGCGTGATTACAAATCACGCTTTTAATTAAGAAAGCATGGTTACAAATCACGTTTTTAAGGAAATTTGATTTATACAGAAAGCGTTGTTTCTAACCACACTTTTAAATAATTTTTTTTTTTTTCCAGAAAACGTGGTTCACAACCACGCTTTTACGAAATAATTTTTTTTTTAAAAAAACGTGGTTCACAAACACGCTTTTATATAAAATTGTTTTGTAATCAAAATATAAGACAAGTAGAGAGGTAGCTCAAATAGTAATGCATTTTTTTCCATAAGAGAGAGATACAGGGTTCAATCCCCACGTCTCCAAACTCTTGTTTTTTATTATGTAATTTTTTTTTGTCAAAAAAAAGTAAAACATTTGTTTGGTTAACTAATATGTATAATAAAAATTATATTTAAAATAAAAATAATTTTTTTAATTTTTTTTAATATTTAAAATATTAAAAAAATATAACACATAAATGTATGAAATATAATACACATTAAAATATTTCATACATTTATGTGCTGTATTTTTTTAAATATTTTAAATGTGAAAAAAATTATTTTTTTATTTTAAATATGTAGTTTTTATTTTAAACATTTTTTTTATTTTTGTATTTTAAATATATATGTTTTATTTTATAAATATATTTTTAAATATTTTAATTTTTTTTTGTTATTTATTTGGTTACAATTTGAGTGTATAGTTTCAAAAGTAGTATAGAGTTTCGAGTTATGTATATGGTTATGAGGTTTGAAAATAATATTTGAATTGAGTTTTGAGTTATGTGTTTGGTTACAATTTCAGTATGGAGTTTTGTTTTGAGTTTAAAATATTAAAATTAAAAAAATTAAAATATTTACAAAATAAAATAAAATATTTAAAATAAAAAAATATATATATTTTTAAAATATTTTATTTTATTTTTTTAAATATAAATATATATTTTGTAAATATATATTTAAATATATAATTTTTATTACAAATATTAATTAACCAAACAAATGTTTTACTTTTTTTTGACAAAAAAAAATTTACATAATAAACATATAAAGTATAGAGTAAGTGGAAGGGGAGGGGAAAAAATTGAATTAAATTTGAAAAAAAGAGTTTGGAAATGTGGGGGATTGAACCCTCTCTCCTATAGAAAGGATTGTATTACCATTTGAGCTACCTCCCTGCTTGTCTTATATTTTAATTACAAAACAATTTTATGTAAAAGCAAGTTTGTGAACCACGTTTTTTTGGAAAAAAAAAAAATTATTTCGTAAAAATGTGGTTGTGAACCACGTTTTCTAAAAAAAAATTTATTTAAAAGTATAGTTAGAAACAACGCTTTCTGTATAAATCAAATTTTCTTAAAAACGTGGTTTGTAACCACGCTTTTAGAATTTTACAAATTTTTTGCAGTTGGGCTACAAAAACGGTGAAAACGTGGTTTCTAACCACGTTTTAACCTAGTTTGAGAATTCCGTCCAAACTAGACCTAGTTTAGGAAATAAGTTGCTATTTTGCCTTAATTTGGGAAAAGTCCCAATTTGAGGTGGTCTACAAGAAATCAGCTTTTTTGGGTTTCCTAATGGTATTGTTCTCCAACTAGCAAAATTATGGTCCGGATGCTATGTGCGTATTCGCTTTCTAGTCACTGTAATCAACTAGATGGACACGGCAAGCTAACTGGCTTCCCATCCATGGAGAACAACATTGTCAACTTGAATACAAAGCCGGTAAACTTGAGTTATATAATTAGAAGATCATGAACAAATAGCATTTTTATTAGGGCAGGTGATAGCATAGAGGTTACATGTCTCTAAAAATATTCATAACAAATAAAAAAGAGTTATGGCTCAAAATGGAAAATAAGTATTGCATACATTCACAGAGCTATTTCCTCCTCGCTGCAATTGTGTATATCAGAGACGCTTTCTGGATCCATCTGCAAGAGGTACTTGTTCAATGACAGTGCGGAGATGATTCTTCTCAAGCTTTCTCCTACGCTTGGTCCTTCCCCTGCATGACCACAACTCGCACAGTGAAGAACTTAATCATTAAAGTTCAACAAAACATCTGTGCATGACAAAAATATCATTTACAATTTCTTCTCCATTTTGCTAATCTAAAAGGTGCTGCCTCGCAAGATTCTACGCTTTCCTCCAGTGGCGGAGCCAGAAAATTTGTTTAGAAGGGACTTATTAATTACAACTTCAAATTTTTTTTCTCATAATCAATAACAAAAGATTATAATTTTTTAAATTAATATTAAGCACAAAATCTTAAATATTTAATATAAAAAGTTTTAAATTTTTTTTTGACAAATGACCTTATGAAATATCATAATTGGAAATATGATATTACTTGCACAGTGTTTTTTAAGCAATGCAAAAAAGTCTTGTATATCTTATGATAGATTATATAATAATATATAAATAATAGTGACATCACGTCATCATCAATATATGGTATCATTAATTGGTAGTAAAGTAACACATGAAGAGTTAATCCCACTTGTCAAATATAATTAACAATTCAATAATTTCACATTTTTGTAAGAAGATTTAACTATGTTTACATGTAAATGATAATTTGGTATCACTATTGCATTGAATTATTTTTACAAATTTTTCATATATAATAATGTGATTGTTATAGTTTCTTCATTTTCAATTAAAACAACTACCATTATTTTCGTAATTTGACAAAAGCCATTAAGAAATCATTCTAAATGTTATTTCTATATAATTTTTTTATTTGTTAATTATTTTTCTATATACACAAAAAAAAAAATTCCGAGTCGGAGAACATTTTTACCTTAGTTTTCTGTGTAGGCATATATCTAGCTACTACAATAGCGTAACTTCTTGAGATTCATTAAGTTATGGGACAGTACTCTGTGATGAGATCAAATATAAAGTGAACAACACTTTATTAACCTAATAATCTCTACAAAAAAATAATTAGCTTTTCGAGAAACCTACCTTAATTTCATACTCAATAATTAAGAATAATCTATTAAATAAAATAGTGAAATTTTTAGAAATTTCTCTTAGAATATTGACTATTAGAACATATAAAAAAAATGCAAATTATTTATACGAAACTAGTAACTTTAATTTATCAAAATAAAGAAAGGATTAGTAACCTTGCATGATTCACTTTAGATATAAACACATTTTCGAAACTAGTAACTTTAATTTATCAAAATAAAGAAAGGATTAGTAACCTTGCATGATTCACTTTAGATATAAACACATTTTTTGTGAAAATTTCATCACCCTTAAAATATATGCTTATGTCCTATTTTTCATGTGAAAAATTATAATCTTGTAAACAAACTTTTAAGGTCAAGAAAATTATAAGAACATATTATTATTCTATTAAACAATAATTTTTTAACCTCCCATGATTATTAATTTGTAAAAATATATTGATAGAGATAAATTGTATGTATTATTGATTGATTTTCTGTCTATTACAAATGGTTCCTTATATAGATGTAGGTGTAGTGGATGGTGGTAGTGGTGTAGTGGGTTAGGTTTAGTGGAGTAGGTGAGGTGATAGTGGTGTAGTGGGTTAGGTTTAGTGGAGTAGGTGAGGTGGTAGTGGTGGTAGGTGATGGTAAATTCTAACATAATTATTAGATGGTCGATTGTACGGTCAGATTCATAGTACTTTCCATCAAAATGATATTAATTCCAAATGGAAGAAACCAGTAAGAGACTTCTTCACATCAATATACTTCCAAATTAGAATAACCTCTTAGTAGATGCTTCCAGGAAAATATATTCGCTATTTCCATCATAACAAATAGCAAGACAGCAAAGTGTACTCACCAGTACTGATTGTGTAGTGTGAAAGAGTCAGTTGGCACTCTTTTTCCATCATCATTGCGATTCCAGTGGTAGACCGCACGCGCTCTATTCTTTATCTCTAATGTGGAATGTCCATAACTGGCTTCTCGGAATGCAGAATAATCGGGTTGGGGATCTCTAAACCTACAAAACCAATGCAAACAAATATGGAACGTTTGTCATGCAGTGAAACTGTTAAGTTATCAATTTTCCCAAAAGCCTAAGCTATTAGCAAATGGGACTAACAATGTATATCAAGCTATCTAACACCCTCCTTCACGTGCAACCCCGTCTTGCACGTGGAGAGGCAAACAAAGGAGCAAACAGCCAAACAAAGAGGGAGAAACCAAACGAGACAGAATAACAAATGCCAACGGAGAAACTTCAACCCAAGACCTCTCTCAACCAAAGCTCTGATACCATGTTACGTTACCAATAAGAAATGGGCCCAACAATATATATCAAGCTATCTAATAGAAACAGGAGAGAGTTAATTGTCGCTTGCCAACAAATTGGTGAAACTTGGTTTATCATCTTATCATCACAACAAGGGCAAGAGAAATCTTTTACATGATGCAACTAAACTTACCTCCCAGCAAGGCCTTCTTGATTTCCTCCATCTCCAACAGTAATGTAAACAGGAGCTGAATTGTCAGCTACAGGATAACGATCACCATTTGATACATTGTAGTGGATGTTGGAAATGCGGTACTGGAAGTAAGAAAGAAGATTTTCTTTAGGCTTCGTTTGATCAGGATGAAAGTGGTGGAAAGTGAGGAAAAAGAAAAAAAAATTGATTTTTTTCCTGGGTTTGTTTAGCATGAAAGTGGAGGAAACTACAACAAAGTTAGTTTTCATGCACAACCTATATTAGGATGGTAACTACGTTTTTAATTTCTTGCAAAAAAAACACAGAAAAACACAAGAAAAGTTAAATTTATCCATGCAAAATTTTCACTATCTTTTTCTTGCAAAATTTTTTATCCTAATCAAACGCTTGCAAGAAAATATATTTTCCATTTCATTCCTTTTCTCACACTTCAATTTCTACTACTTTCACTTTCCACTACTTCTTTCTTTCTAATTAAACAGAGCCTTATAGTTTCTTTCTAATTCAACATAGCCTTATAGACCTCACCTTCAACAAATGAGTAGACATACTACATGAATGGAGCAGTCATACTTAAATATGTAAATGGAAGAATGCACAGAAATCTAGTGTCAACATAACCGGACTATCATGTGGCATGCTTCAAATTCTCTTTTTGTTTTTGCTCAGACATTTTTTCCATTCTTAAATGAGCCACTAATGCATTTGTTTCTTGAAATTTCACCCAAAATATTGAAATTCTGAGACTGAGTCGCAGTTGCATCCTAAACTAGTTGACAGTTTAAACTTCAGACAAAAAGGTCCAAAATCCAAGTATCAAAAACATACAAAAATATTCTTTCCTGATGCAGATGGGAAAATGAAATCCCCATCATCCAGCTCTTATTGTTGCCAAATAGAAGTACATTAGGTAAAAAAGGCAAGCCATTTGACTTTGAAATTAAGAATAGCATTTGAAGTCATTAGATTGAAAGCAGTTTCTTATCAGACAACATCCAGAAATGTACAGCCCCAGGAAGACAACAAAGATAAATACAGATTCTTAATAACAGAATTATAAAAGTAGGACAAAGGTTTGATTCACTCAAGCTCTTTATATTTTGAACAAATATATTACTATATGAAATTAGCTGTCTAAAAATAAATACTATTAACTATTGTACCATATTAATGAATTTATAGCATCTCTAGTACTGAATTTCCATTTTTCTGTTATCAAAGAATAGCACAAGTTTTTCGTAATTTTGCAACCTCAACTAAAAAATGTTAAATGTCAGGGCCATTGATCTGTGCACCATTTACGTAATGGGTTTTATAGGTGTTTATGAGTTTTAAGGCTTGTAGCCGGTGGTGTTCATCTAACAAATCTTCATCAACAGGCTCGAACTTCTGTCCTTCCTAACATATATGCAAATTGTTGTATTATTGAACAAGGGAATGCATTAGCACAAACAATTTCATTCAGCATTGCTTCATCTTATCCTTGCTTCAACCATGGTTTTTTTGTTTCTTTTTATTTTTCTTCTTTTTTTTTTCTTTTTTTTTTTTTGTGTGTGTGTGTGTGTGTGTGGATAAGTCCATTGTATATAACATTTTCCAAAAAAAAAAATTCATTCTTGGGATCATAAGATCTTTGAGAGGATCAAAACTCACATTCTATTCATGCATGTGTGAAGCACTACTTTAACTGCAAGATGCACACATCCAAGTTTTTGAAGTGTAATATATTTAAAAGCAAAGATTTAAGTATCACCAACTAAAAAACAGAAAAAAAACTGCAAAATAAAAGATTTGCACTGAAAGAGCAGTCATGTTGTACCCTATTCATTACCTTAAATTTACAGTCCATATTAATTATAGATCATGAAAAGGCAGCCTGAAAATAATTCAGTTTGCAAAATAAAATCCAGCATAATCTTGAATGAAATGCAAATAATGGTCAACATTGTCTTCTATAGAATATAGCCATACTCAGGAATAATAAGAGACAAAAAAACTATCTATGTACTGTCTGCATCAATATGTAATGCAAAAGACAGTCTTTTCCACGTGCAAAATGTGTAACTTGCATTTCTATGTAAAGAAGCTTCCTTTAGAATCACAAGAGTCAAATCATGCCTTTTATTATATGTTTATTTTGCAATGCAACAGAGATTTAGACCCAGACATTCAGGTTCAGAACCCAACCAGATATCAACTACTTTATTTGGGCAGTAGCCATGTCCTCAAATATGAACAGAAAAAAGTTACGAGTAAAGGTAAAAGTCAAAACTCATTTTCTTCAAATTCAGATTTTGAAAACTAAACAAAAGGAACTTTCATTTTGCTAATTAAAATAATCAAAACCGTGTTAATTGGCTAAGGACATGATTGCTATTGAGGTATGGAAGCAATTTAAAGGTTACTGAGGGAGCTGATTAGATGACAGTGGAGGCTACAGAGGACATGCCCAGACAGACAGACCATGAATTTTTAATCTACAGCAATATTTCAATAATGAATTAAATTTAGCTTTCGATCTTCTAATATTATAATTTTTCTTATTTTTGGTCTCAGAAGGAAAGAAGAAAAAGAAGACAGATTAATAAGAAACATACTGATCTTTCATAAGCATGGACATGGCCAGCAAAGACTACATCAACTTTGTAATGGACAAACCAACTCTCGAAGACAGCCCTCATGCTTTCGCCCTCCATGAAGTGGCCTTCATTGCTATTGTAGATTGGGACATGCATAATTACAATAAGCCAAGGTGTCTTCTTCCTGTCAACCCTTTCAAATTCATCCCTGAGCCACATCCATTGAGGAGTATATTTCACTGTCGAAAGGGAACTAAGCCAAAATTAAGAAATACAGAAGCAAGAACATTCTTTGCTATTCTAAGAGAGAACATGAATCAATTACTTTTGCAAATTAAAGCCTCAACATTAGATTTCAAAAGAGAAAAGTTGACATGTCAAAAAGATCAAAAATAAAATTCATGCATTGCCAAAAGAATGGAATGCAACTTCTTTGAGTCTATCCCCGACTAATAATCCAACAAGCACGAGGGATTATAGGCCAATACCTTGCTGTAATGTGCTTTATAAGACCATTTCTAAAGTTTTGGCTGAGAGGATTCAACCTGTTCTCCCTTTAATTGTTGAAATCTGCTTTCATCAAAGGGAGGAGCATTGCAGATAATATTCTGTTGATGCAGGAGCCTGTGAGATACTATCATAGGGAAGATTTATTCCCCGGGTGTGCTATAAAGATTGATCTCATGAAAACATACGATCCTGTTGACTGGGACTTCCTTTTGATGTTTATGGAGGTTTGTGAGTTGAGTTCCCTGCTCAGTTTATCAGTTGGATTACGTATATCTACTGCTAGGTATTCAGTCGTTATAAATGGAGCTTAGGAAGGCTATTTCTCGGGGAAGAGGGGTTTCAGACAAGGGGATCCTATCTCCCCTTACCTATTCCTGTTGATAATGGAAGGTTTTTCCGCTCTACTTAATTGGCAAACTGATCAAGGAGTTTTCAATTTTCATCCTAAATGCTCTGAATTGAACATATCTCATTTGGCTTTTGCTGATAATCTCTTCATTTTATCCAAGGCTGATAAACAGTCTTCTAAAGTAATCAAAGATACTATAAATGAGTTCTCCTGTAATGACCAGGTACATTTGAACTTTAATTACTGTATTAGAAACCTAGATAACTTAGAATAATTAATATAAGAGTTATTTACACGAAGATCCCCTAAACTTTTAAGAAGTATCACTTTGATCTCCTAAACTATAAAAGCATACAATTGACCCAATAATCTATTGAGAACTATCACTTTGCCCCTTAAACTATAGAAGTGAACAAATGGACCCCTCTAAACTATTGGCGTGTCAATTTGTAGCCTTCTATAGTTTAGTGGTTTTATTTGTACGCTTTTATAGTTTAGGGGGCAATGTCTCAATAGTTTAGGGGGCTCAATTTGTACGTTTTTATACTTTAGGGGATCAAAGTGATACTTCTCAATAGTTTAGGAGGTCTTTGTGTAAATAACCCATAATATAGTCCCTAGTGGTGTCCTGGTACTTCAGTTCGATTAACTTTTTTGCACAATCGATCGTCTCGGTTTGTGTGCATCGATTCTCGAGCTGAGTTGGGATTCAGGAGATGGACTCTCTGAACCTAATATTAGATGTTAACATAGTTTTATTTCTCTGTTTGGAGATATTCTAGTGAATTGGGAATTTTATATAATAATGCTTCTAGTATTATTAGAGTCTTATTTTATGATTATTTTTATGTTTTCTAGAATTTCTAGGCCAAGGGTACTTTGGTAATTTTTTATTATCGTTGTCATGGGTTGTAAGGGTTGCCCATGGGTCATCTTGGGGGTGAAGTTATTTAATTAAGTTTTACTTATATTTCTTATTGTAAGAATTTATGTATTATTGATTGATATATATTGTTGTGTTGGGTTTGTCCGGCGGGCGGCCAAGGCGAGATTGCCGCCCGCCGGTGGAACGAAAATATTAGGTTCTTAACCTAGCTCTGATACCATGAAAAATAAATTGATGTATTATTATTGATTGATTTTTTTTTACAAGATTGTTGTGTATATTGATATTTCTGTTATGTTTACAATGATCAAATATATAGAAGAGAAGAAGGTAGTAGGTGAAGTGGTAGGGGATGAAGTGGAGGTGGTAGTGGTAGGTTAAACTCAAAACACAACTTCACACTCAAATCGTAACCAAACACATAACTCAAAACTCAATTCAAAAATTATTTTCGAAACTCATAACCAAACACATAACTCAAAACTCCATACTACTTTCAAAACTATACACTCAAACCATAACCAACACATAACAAAAAAATTAAAATATTTATAAAATAAAATAAAATATTTAAAATAAAAAATAAAAAACATATTTAAAATAAAAAAATAATTTTTTTAAAATTTTTTAATATTAAAAAATATAGCACATAAATGTATGAAATATAGTGCACATTAAAATAAATAAATAAATATTTAAAATATAAAATATTTACCACAAGAAAATAAAATTAAGAAAAATTTTAACTATTTAAAATAAATAAATAAATCTAAAAAATTTCAAAATACAACTCAAAACTCATAACCAAACAAATTCTCTTTTTAAAACTCAATTCAAAACTCATAACTCAACACGACTTCATACTCAAATCATGATTCTAAAAATATTTTTAAATAACAAAATAAAAAAATATTTTTTTGAATTTTTTCTTTTAAAAATAGAGTTTTGAAAAGAGTTTGGTTTTGAGTTTTGAAAAAAGTTTTGAATTGAGTTTTGAGTAATTTTGAGTTGTGTGTTTGGTTATGAATTTTAAAAAGTGATTTGAAAATTTTGCTTTTCGAATCATGATTCCAAAAGCAAACCAAACACAGCATAAGATTTTATAATAGTTTCCTTTTTTGGTTCTAATTGGTTTAGGAAGTCTCTAAAGTTTATATAAAGTCATGTAATACTTCTAATTCAATAGAGTTGATATTTTATAAAAATTTGAGGGTTTGGAAGATTCTTTATGGATTGTGTGATGCAATCAAACCCTATGTGTGATGCCTAAGGGATTCTATGAGTGATTCCTAGATTCATTTTGTTCTCTTCTTTCTTTTTTCTTTTTTGTTTCAATTTACTATTCTCGGATTACTATTCACAGCCCTCTAAAAGTGCACTTTTCAACCTCAAAACTCCATCCAATCACCCTCAAATCAACCCTAATCCCTTGCCCTACCCATTAGCCTTCAATGTAACCCTTGAAACCCTAAATGACTCAATGTTCAGGCCATCAAATAACCTCAGTTTTCAAAATCCAGTGATGTCCCTACTTGTCCTGCATCAGTTTGATATCAAAGCTTAAGGTTTCGCCATGATGTTTTCATATTGCAGGAGATCCAATACAAGTGGATTGCCTTGGGATGTAGGTCAAGCACTTCTTAGAGAAAATATTCGTCTAAGGGATCTTCAAGATGATTTTCTTGATCAACTATATGCTCTTGATCAGGGTGATATGCATGTGGTTAATTAGACAAGAAAATTCAAGGAATTATTTATCTAGTCTTGTAGTAGTAGAAAGCAAATGGATGTTTATTAAACTAAACCAAATCTTAAGTTTCATTAAACGGGGTCGGTTGCATGAATCCTTTTCTTCACTCGACTCTATTCAAGGCCATTTTGTTAGTCAAATTAAAGAGGTTCATATCTCTATTTACTACACTAGCCCATGTCAATTTAGGTTTGCCTCTTCCCCTAACACTTCCATCTACCGTCACTATCTCGCATCTCTTCACTACTGCCTCTGTTGGTCTCCGTTATATAGGACTAAACTATCTTAATATATTCTCTCTCAACTTATCTTCCATCGGTACTACTCTTATCCATTCTCAAATATACTCATTCCTAACTCTATCTCTTCTAGTCTTGTCACACATCCATCTAAGTAACACTCATTTTATCTACATGTTTCTTAGTTGCCCAACATTCCGATCCATGCAACATTGCTCGTCTAATAGCCGTTCCATATAACTTTCCTTTTACGCTAGTGGGTATTCGTTTATCGCACAGTACCCTAGACGCACTCTGCCACTTACGCCACCGCGCCTTAATTCTATGGATTACATCTGCTCTAATCTCCCCAACCATTGTGATAATTGATTCTAAATAACAAAACTGTTCACTCTTAGATAGTTCTCGGTTCTTAATCTTCATTTCTTCTCTACTTCCATTGTTATTGTTACTGTTACTAAAATTACACTCCATGTATTCTGTCTTAGTTCTGCTTATCCTAAATCCTTCAGATTCAAGTGCTTCTGTCAAAGTCTCAAACTTAGTGTTAACTCCTCTAGTCTCATCCACTAATATGATATCATCTGCAAAAAGTATACACCGTGGCATATCATTCTGAATATTTCTCATAAACACATCTATAATTAAAGCAAAAAGATGAGAACTTAAAGTTGATCCTTGGGATAACCCTATAGTAATTGAAAATCCACTTGTCTCTCTAACAGGCGATCTAATAATGATCACCACACCTTCATACATATCTCTAATCACATCAATGTAACCTTTTTTGTCACCCCTTTCTTCTCTAACACCCACCAGATTATATTTTGAAGCACTCTATCCTATGTTTTCTCAAGATCGATAAAAAAACCATATGAATATCTTTTTTCTTTTCTCTATACTTTCTATTACTCTCCTTAAAAGATAGATCGCTTCCATTGTTGACCTACCAGACATAAACCCAAATTGATTCTTTGACACCTCTGTTATATCTCGCAATCAACGTTCAATCACTCTCTCCCACACTTTCATCATATGACACATAAGCTTAATTCATCTATAGTTATTGTAGTGTTGGACATATTCTTTATTCTTATAGATTGACACTAAAATACTTCACTAGCATTTTCCTAGTCAACAAAATCTTACTAAATAACTTAGTTAACCAAGCAACCCTCTTCTTACCCAAACATTTCCAAGCTTCAATAGGGATATCATTGGGTCCTAAAGCCTTATTCGATTTCATCTTCTTAAGTGCAATCTCCACTTCATAGTTTATAATCCTACGATAGATCCTATAGTCCTGGTTTTCTTTATTACTGTCTACTTCTTCCCTTTTGACCTACCTCCGTGTTCCTCATTTAACTTTTCAAAATAGTTCTTCCACCTATCCTTAATCTCTTCATCCTCCACCAACACCTTCGAGTCCTTACTCTTGATGCACTTAACCTGATTACAATCTCTTGTTCTCCTTTCTCTTATCTTAGCAAGTTTGTATATCTTCT